ATGGATGGATGGACTGGAGAGAGATACGATCTGCCTGAAGGTTAGCCATATCTGACTGAAGACTCTCTGCACCGTAAACATGTCACAGGTACAAAGAGCACTACAAATGGGAAAAACTGTGTTTATGGTTGATCTCAGAGATGCATGTGCATCTCCCACACAACACTAAAGCTGTAGTTACTTTTTGACTTACTTCCATAATCTCTAACAGTAAAGTTTCTGTGTCGGAGCTCCTTGGAGGACTTGAAGAAGAACCTCTGGCCTACAGGGGGATGGTCCTCGTCCACAGCGCCAACTGTCTGGATCACCTGGTCAGCAAAACAGGAAGATTAGGTGCTAAACACACTCAAGAAAAACACAGAACAACATGTGAACTGAAAATATCTAAACACGGGTTTAGTCTGTGCTGATGCAGTGCACACCTACTCTGGATGACAACCTCACACTACCCCAACGAAACTGAAATATTCTCAGTTGAGTAAAAACAATTATTGTCATCACGTAGTTACAGGACAAGGTTGCTGATGCTGAAGCTCAGCTCCAAACCTCCTCTTACACCAGCATCAGCACAAACACTGCACCGGGAGCTTCATGTCAACGATTTCCATGGCTGAGCTGTGGAAATCCTTGACTATTGCCCAGTTAGTGTATTTAACAAATACCTGTGATGAAGATCGTTGTATGTGCTGTAGCTCAGCATACCTGTCCAGCTCTGGAGTTCTCACAGACGAATGTATCTGAAGGAGCAGTGAGCTGAGGAGGGAACTCATTCACATCCAGGACGTTGACCTTCACTAACACTTCTGCAGACAGCGAAGGATTATCTGTGAGGGTCAGCATGAAGCCGTGTTAGTGTGACAGCCAAATATATTCATCACAGCCTGTGTGACCCGAACATCCTGTGGGGTTCAAACTACCATTAGCTCTGATTTTTGAGTGGGTCACCTGCAAAGAATACATTAGGTAACAATTGTGGGCGTGTCCTGCAAACATTTCTTTACTTCCAGCTCCACATTTTTTACTCAACTCTAATCAAGTAACTCTGCATGAATCACAATGTTGCATATATGTGCAACAGCACAGGGAACCACAGAGAAAAGGCAAACATCGAAAAGCTGTTCACTGATTTGATTATCGAGTAGCAGCCCACTTTAATGATATGAAACATGATGCAGCATCGTTACAATGTTGTGCCATTGAACATGTTCTAGTACCTCCAACAGGGGAAACCATGACTTATCATTGAAGAGAGGCATTCTGGGTATTCACCTTACAGACGCTGTCATCTGAATCATGAACTTGTTCTCAGTGTTATGTTCTAGTTTCTACATGATCTTATTTTTTTCAATACATGACAGTGATTTTTATAAGCGGTTTTTAATAAGTAGTAATTTATGGATGTTTTTAGAATGTTTAACAGACATCGATGGTCCAGTTCTGAGAGGAGCCACAGACGATCGACAGCTGCAAAGGAGAGTTTGTAAAGCAGAGTGAGATCCTCAGCAGATGGATTTTAATCTGCTAGAGAGTAACTAAGAAATCTCAAGAATTAAAAAGTCAAACTCAGTCACATAAAGACATTATGAAACAAAAATTAGGTTCACTAATATGGAACCCAACAAAAAGCCAGGTACAAATGTTAGAGAAAAGATCATCGATTATTTGAATCAGTTATGAGAATAAAGTCACAGGTCCATAACACAGATTTATAAATGAAATCAGGTGGAAGAAAAGATAACTGGGGCAAGAGCACAAGAGAGGATTTTAGCTTGCACAGTGACGCTAGAGCTAGCAAATGTCTAGAAGTTATTTTCCGACAAATCCCAGAGAACATTTGTAACGTGCAGACGTGGTGAACAAAAAGCTCAAAACAACGTCTGTGGATCTGGAGTTATTCAAAAATACAGTAATTAATATTTCTAAAAGAGAACTTACTGATGGATCATTTTACCAAGTAGTGCTGTAAGTGTCTTTGCTGTAAAGATGGACCTTTATAATAATGGTGAGTGTGATAGTGTGCACAGGTCATACTATATTTCGCCATGAATCAAAAATTGAAATATTTGTCCTTTATTTTGTGCGGGGCGTCTGCACAACCTCGGTTAAATCTCTGTTAGAAACAAGTAGTTTCACCTTTTTCTCTTTTAAGGCCTCTTCAGACTAACACTGTTCTAACTGGCTGCCTTTAAATATTAGACAAAAATCCAAACCTACACAGCCCTGTGTGAATAAGTGAAGCAGGTCTCCAGCCACAGCCAGGCTTGATTAATGTCACATCTATTCTCAATGAAGAAATCATCTAAACAGGACCTGCCTGACAAAGTGGAGTAGACCAAAAGATCCTCAAAACTCAGACATCATGACGTGATCCGAGGAACAAATGAGAAACAAAGCAATTGAGATCTTTCAGTCTGCAAATGTTAACGAGCCATTTCTGTGGGACTCCAGCGAATCACAGTGACAGTCTTCATCCACAAACATGGAACAGCGGTGAACCTTTCAAGGAGTAACCGGCCGACCAAAATGACCCCGAGAGCACAGTGACGACTCATTGAAGAGGTCACAAAAGACCCAAGAACAACATCCAAAGAACTGCAGGCCTCCTTAGCCTCAGTTAAGGTCGGTGCTCATGACTCCACCATATGAAACTGGGCAAACTGGCCGAAAGACACTGCTGAGCAAAAGGAACATAAAGGCTCATCTCAGGTTTGCCAGAAAGCATATTGCTGATCTCCAATCTGTTGACTTATACCAACAGTAGAATAAGGTGGTGGTAGTGTGATGGTCTGGTGCTGTTTTGCTGCCTCTGAATGACTTAAGAACAACAAAATGAAGACTTTGGAGCGGCCGAGTCAATGTTCTGACCTGAATCCGATTGAGATGCTGTGTCACAACCTTACAGTGGTTCATGCTCAAACCCAATGTAGCTGAATTACAACTATTCTGCAAAGACGAGTGGGCGAGAATTTCTCCACAGTGCTGTAAAAGACTCATTATCAGTTATCACAAATGTTGTTGCTGCTAAGTGTCCCGGTCACTTTAGGGTTAGGTGCCAATCACTCTTCCACACACAGGACCATGTTGGTTTGGATGTTTTCCCCTTAATAATAAACAGATTCATTTAGAAACTGCATATTATGTTTACTTGTTTTGTCTTTGTCTAATATTTACATTTGTTTGATCTGAAATATTTAATATATACAAAAATACACAAAAAGAGAAAATGAGGAACTTTTCCTACATCACTGTATGTAAAGTGTGAATCGTGAGGGGATCGTGTTCTGTTTTGTTCACACTGCACTTGTTTCTTGTCACTTAATACAGTGAAGACAAATATATAACATGTACAACACACTTATTGGCTAGAAGAAACAATTATTGGTGCATTTCTGTTGCAGGGCTAACACAGTGAGAATCTGTGATGAACCCATCTCCACTAACTGCATGTGTTTGGAGTGCAGAGTCAAAGTGAACCCACACGGAGAACATGCAGACGACACATTAAACGTCCCGATGGTGGATTTAAACCTAGGACCTTATTGCTGCGAGGCAGCAGTGCTAAGAACAAGCTTTGAAAAAAGAAAGAAGGAAGGATTCATGTTTTTTACGTTTGTGAGATCTGAAAAGTAAATTAAATTTGTATATTATACGAAATCCCTCATTCTAAATTGACTCCTGGGTCTTCGCAAAGCAGGACTTTCTATATAAGAAAACACAGTCTTGGTGAATATTGTGTCCCCTGATAAGAACACTTTTCTCCCATTGATAACTTATCACTCAACATTTATGTTGGAATTTCTAACTAACATTTGTTTAGTTGATGGGATGGTTATGAGATGACTGTTGACCTGTTTGCACAGTTAGTGTCTGTACAGTTTCTGATCAGTGTTGGTCAAGTTACTTGAAAAAAGTAATCAGTAACTAATTACTGATTACTTCCCCAAAAAAGTAATCCC